CTCTTTAAAATGCACTTTAACTTCTTCCTGTTATTTCAGGAATGGAGAAGCCAAACCACATTGTATTAAATATTTAAAAAGCTTACATACCATTTTTGTTAAATCATGGCCAATTCAGTTCTACGTAGAACCATCATTCTCGAGTCAAGATATAATGCCCAGTTGGAAATTCCCGTGTAAGCTACAAGTTCTTTAAGAATATTACCCTAAAGCTAAAGAATACTGCAATAGATAATCAGTGTACTTCTATGCCTGAATCCTAAATGTTCAATGAGAATCTCTGATGAACAGTGCAGAAACTTTAGTTTACTGATGCCACCACATAATCCTCATTTATTGTCATTTCTCTAGATGGTAGCATAAGTTATGTGTATAGTGTAAAAGTATACTGTACACAAAGTATATCACAACAAAGAATCAGGTTGTTTCGGTTTTTTGTTTAATTAGCATTGTATACTAATTACTAAAACTACAGTGAAGAATATCAACTTTAATTCACCCCATAAAACATTGCAGCATCGTCCTATAAAAGACAGATGTGCTCACCTTGACTGTGTTAAATATTATTTACACTACTGTCATACAAGACCTTTTCACCTCACCAAGAAAGAGGTTTAAATAAGAAAATGCAAAGCTTGTTGTTACCTTCCTTAAAGAGCAACACCACAAATAGCTGCATCTCCTGTTCTAATGCATCAGGCTTACTAGTTCCAAACTGCGAGCATTAACTGCTGTCTCATCTTTAATGTAAAATGTATTAATGCCTAGGAAGCAAAAAAAGGATTCTTACAAAATTATTAACCTATGAAACAGAACCACAACAAGAAAATAACTGAACGAAAAGGAAATACTTTCCCCATTAACACTGTCAGTATAATCTTATGGGACCCAATCTGTAGTTCTCAAAAATAAACTATAAAGGCTTTTTCATTTGCAAAGTAATTTTTGTCTGTAGACTAATGGCGGAGTGGATTAGCAGTCTATCTGTGCTCTTAGATATGCAGATGCTGATCCAGTACCTTTCATATAAAAGGAGGCAGAGGAGCAGGAAAAAAAAAAGGGGGGGGGGGGGGGAAAAAGGGGGGTTTTTTTTCCCCTCGTTTAAATTTGTATTCTCAGCATTCTAGGGAAAAAAAAAAGCCTGAAATAATGAGACCTATAATACATAACAAATTTATCTAGCTTTGCTACTCATCTTTATTTACCTCTAAAGCATTGAGAAATTTTTTGTGTAATTAGTTACCACACAGAAAACACTGCTGATACTGGCGTGCAGGGTGATTTTACCCTGGCACATCCCTACCGGAGAGGAAACTGGCACCCAGGGAGCTCTCGCTTTGCTGTCTTCAGCTCTTGCAGGCAGTGGCTGCATTAAGTGCACACGAAAGGCTTCCTAAGCCTGAATCACATTGCTAAGGAAGTCAGTCGAATATTTGGGTGGTGCTTTTAAAGATATTACATGTATAGCTTCAGAATACCCTACCCTGACCTCCTGTTCTGAGCCACCTCCTGTAAGTTATAGGAAAAATGATAGGCTTTAAAGCCAGGACCCATTGTATCATCTAATCTGACTCCAGTTGCACAATGAAATAATTTTTCCATTGTGCAGAACCCAACGATTTGAATGTTGTTATGGGTATGGACCAACGGGACAGATCTTTCTGAGAGAAGCTTGCTAGTATGTGGAAAGCGTACATCCTTATGCATATACATTGTAATAAACACAAGATAACTTGAAATAAGAATATTTGCCACTGAAATTGTTAAAAATTACCTTTTTTTTTTTTTAAGGCCTGACTGACATTTCTTACTATAAAAATCTCTATTAATCTAAATAACTCCTTTACTGCCTTCTGCAAGAAGTAAGCACTTCCAACTCTGTGAGTCTTTTTTCCAAGTTATAAAACATGCATTTGTGCAAGGTAAGTTTTCATGACTTGTTATTCTTTATTTTTAAAAATAGGCTTATTAATTCAGTTCTACTTTGAAAGATTAAGACTTGTTCCCTAAACCACTTCATGGCATAACAGTAGGATCTAAGAGTGAATAGGCAAATAATTGCTTGTATATGGCACACATATAGAGATCACACTAATTCTAAACCCACGTTTCAGTTTTAAATAAGCTAGTCATTTAATTTACTTCAAGTTATTAACACAATCCATTATTGTGTAAAACGTCTTCCATTATTTTTGTGTAAGTGGAATTTAGACTCTTTTTCCTATATGGCAGGAAGGAAAAAGAATCCACCAGCAGATAAATTTTTATTGAAAATAAAAATTTAGCACCTAAGCCACCACAGCATTATGGTAATCATGTTCAGTTTATGCATCACCGAACTACTTCATGCGTAAAGAACTACTTTTGTGACATGCATTTTTATCAGCAGACTTAAGTGTCTTAATGTTTTAATGGATTTTCACCATTTCCATTACTTCATGGATTCCCGTGGTTTATTTTCATCTCAAATTTAAACATTTTTCCATGTTAAAAAAAAAATTAAATCTTTATTCAAGTAATTTTAATGCCACCATTACCTTAAGAAGTTACTATGATACAAGATAAATTTTGAAGGACTGTCCCCCCTGCATTTTGCTACATATTCCCAAGGTTTTTTTCCCCTTAAAATTACTTCAGATTGACAGGTTTCATTTTTTGTGTGATATTTTGCATGAATTCTATGTTCTGTCAGGTTTAATGTTTCTTTGCTGTTCCTTTTTCCCTTGTTTCATGCACAGATATAAATTAACAAAAAGAGGGACTTGGACACTTTTTATTCTTTTTTTTTTTCCCAGAGAACGTATAGTACTAGAATAAAACAAATTTGTCACAGATATAATATTTATTTAATAATTTCTGAAAAAAAAAAATCGTAACCATCAATTAACAGGTGTTAACTTCACTTTAAACTTAGCTCTTGTAACATTTTGTCACATGGCATACTTGTAGCATCGCTGAAACTATAAAGGTTTTAAGTCCTATTTAGGTTACTCGAGAAAGCTAATAGAGACAGTAATGGACATACTAAGCCAGCTTAAAACAATGAAACTTTCAATCTCAATTCAACTGGAACACATTAGGTTATAAACAAGTGGCATATATCTGGCTGTGTCATGCTATATAAAGAACATACGACATAGGAAGTACTACCTCAGCGGCATCAAACAGGGTGCCAAATATCAACATAATTAAAAGTCAGCTATGCATCTCAAATGTGTTTTCTCACAAGCGTCCAAAGGATTCCAAAGACAGGCTAATAAATCTACTTATGTACACAATAAGAACATGTAGAATGAAGAGTAAAAACTTACTGTGATCCAGTGAAGCATTCCAAAATGAGATTGAAACTAACCAAAACCAAAAGACAACTGACTTTTAAAACCTAGGAATATGGGCTTGCTCCCACTGAAGTTCATGGCAAGTTTCCATTGATATCAGTGTTGTAGGAATGATCTCTAATACTGCAGTTAATGTCTAATCTATATTACTGTTATTTTTTGGCACAATTCAACTTGGAACGCGGTAGCATGATATGAAAAGGGTGTTTTGTTTGCAAACTTGGAATGAAATCTGACTTGGACTCGATTGCACAATAAAAAAGCCAACAAAAGAGAATTTGACACTCACCATTCTGGCAGAAAAACTAGAAGATTAAAAATACTTTGATATTGTTATTTGAAATTAAAATCAAAAGGAAGAAAACATAGAAGTGTTAAACTGTGCCAGATTACTGGGATCTTTGGTTAATGAACATTACTTTCTTCAAAGTCGTTTGAAGCTAGTAATAAAGCTAGTACCTAAAAATGCTGCAGAATTAAAAAAAGTCTCACTGGCTATGAAACAGAAAAGCTATTAATCCTTTATACTAGCATGTTAAATCTCAAACTATCTGTGACAAATCCTGTATTTCTTCTTCTTTCTGAGCTATTACTGAATTAATTGGGAGTTCTCAATCCCTATTCAGCACCGTACTTAAACGTGTTCTCGACTTTATACACATGAGAAAACCTAAATCCTTATCTAAATTTGACTTCATTGTAAGTTAAGCATAAGTTTATGATAGAGCAAGCACTCTGGTGTTTTGTTGAATTAGGAACTTGACTTCTACAGATGGGAAGGAGTCCCTCTGACTTCTTTTGTTCTCACAAGTGCTAAATCCTCAGTTTTATCAGGTCATATTTGCGTGCCTTTAGCAAAATAGGAATAACAGTTATTTGAGAGCAAGAGCTATCATTTTGTCAAGTCATTACTCAAGGATAGTACATGTGGCGAGGAAAATGGAAAGAAGCATAGCATGAATCAGATTCTTAACCTACTACTACAGAATAAAATGATTAGCATATTTTCATTATTATTACCATAAGCATATATAGAGAAGATTAAGAGGATCAAAATTAAGTTTGGATAGTATATTTGTGCTAAATTCAGCCAGATACTAATGCTAGCAAATATTTATATTAATGATGAACTTTGTGCTATGGGACTCAATATATTACATACGAAGTCTGAAATACAGTGCTGGGTTTGGAAATATCTGCTCATCAAATGAAGTACTGTGGACATTAATGTTTTGCTCACCCTACTTTAGCAATATGTCTTAGTCACGACTTGGCAATTCAATGATCGTGAAGTCTCTGATCTGTTTCCTGACCTGTCAAATACTATCAGTCAAAGCAAAGTGGAAGAATGGCCGTTTCAATGAAGTGGATGTTCTTTCAAACCAAACCGAGAGGAAGTCATCATCTCTGTTTGTGAAGACTTGGTGGATCAAAGACAGAGCAAATTCAATGACCTAAAGTTAGAAGGATCTACCACATGCTAAGAATTCCTTGGGTCAGTTAACCCACTGCAGTTTATTTATTCCCTGACAGCATCATAAAAATGAGTCAGTGCTGGTTAATAAGAAAATATTTTCTCCTGTTAATCAGTGATATCATTTGCAAAGGGCAGGGTAGCAGACACTAGCAATTCACTACAAAATAAAAAAATAAAACCTTTACCCTAATAAAGAGGATCTTCTCTCCAACTCTGTATCTTCCTTGTGAAAGACGCTCCACACAGAACTTATTAGGGCATTTACAAGGTGGATCTTCAGAAATGTGTTTGACCTGAAAAACACGGAAGCTATTAATAGAAACTGTTTAAAATCCACATGTAGCAAAACAGTCAAGACGACATTTACCATAATAACACTAATCTAAGTCTTCATTAATGATATTTTCTTAGTTTTTCTTATTTTTCTTAATATTTCTGTAATCGCAGACTATGATGCTTCCAATATCAAGAACAATTTTACAGCTGTGATGAGGTAAAAATAGAGATGACCGTCACACAGTTCAACATAAAATTTGCACTGTTTAACTGAAGTCAAACAGTTTGTTAATTTGAGTTCGGCATCAAACTTTTGTAGATGTGTTCTCAGTATTTTATGGTGAATCAGCTCAACTGTCAAAGTGCTAATATAGCTGACAGGCAAAATGAAGATGTCGTAATGTTGTATTTTCCCTTTTAAATAAATACAATAAGTACAGAAACATCTTGCTTATCAATAAAAGGCCCTGCCCAATATCCTCACTTGGCGCTTTCAAATAGCGCACGGACACCTTAAAAAAAGCCTACGGAGAATACTGTGACATAATCAGAAATTCATGCCAAGATGCTCCCCAGTACTGCTAACTACCCTTCGATGATCTCTGCCTTAGGGCATTAGTGCAATCAAGGGTAATTTAAAGGGGCCTCAAGAGTACTCTACTTTATCATTGCCAACAATAAGGACTGAGAAAATACAGATTAAAACTACTTTCCTGCTTTTTATCAGCTGCATCAGCTTGACTTCAGCCTCTTGTGAAAACTTGGCCTTGCATGTGCTACCAAAGGCATTAACGTTTAGTAAAGGTATATTTTGTACTCTTCAGTGATCTGAAAGTAGCACAGCCATCAATGCCAGAAGAGCAGATCTGGTTGAGAAACTCTTATTTGACATTCAAATCGCACTGCTGCATAGGAACAGCAATAACAAGTGCAGCATTTTCATATACTGCAGTTTTCTTTCATGAATGCTGACCTAGTATGTCAGTGTCAAACCATGTAAAATGCTGGAGGAACTTCCTAGAGGTTTTGTCCACTTCAGATAATATTCCAAAGACCTTTTCAAATGCAGTTTGCAAACCAAGGCCTGTAAAAACAGTCTGAGGTTTGGGAAAGAATATTCTCAGAATAGCTAACAAGTTAAAGTCTTAAGCTGTTTCTTAACAGTACAAAGCTATGGTTCTTAACAGGGCAAAGCTATGGCACCCCGATAGGTGGTTTTGTTATCTTCAATACTTGAACAGGAAAGGCTTCTGAAGTACAACAAATGTTTTTCAGATCTGCTTTTAGAATAAAGTTATAGTATGTTAAATAAACCAGAAAGAAATTAAAAGTTAACCAGTTATTGTTTCCATACTAGAACAGGGAGCAAAAATGCTCTTGAAACTAGCCCTGTTGACCGATTTAAAGGCTTTCCAATTATTTCTGAAATTGTTCAATGTTGTTATCTGAATAACTTATGAATTTGTGAAACAATTTTTTAATAATTATTCTTAGCTTTTTTTTTTTATTCAGAGAATGGTATTTTTGTGAAAAAATTCATTTTAAAATAACACTTAGCAGAGGAAGTCTATCAGGGCATGATATTTTTGTGAAAAAATTCAGTTTAAAATAACACTTAGCAGAGGAAGTCTACGTGTATTTTACACACAAATAGTGTTTCTCAAGTATCAGATGAGCTGTCCTCAGTTTGAATGTACAATCACTGAATTATTTTAAGATTAATTATTTCAATGATTTTTATCAACAAATGGGTGAGTGTTAGCCTCTAATTCTGGAGAATCAAACTATTTAGATAGTCAGTGTACAACAGGAATAACTTATATGAAGTCAGTGGTCAATGACTTAAATCCAAGTGCAGCTTGCTGAGGATGCAAAAGGTGCATTCCTGTATCTCTTGGAATGTGGTACCAATACTGGGGTTGTGCTTAGAGGACTATTTGGTAACGGCCCTCTGAACGCTGCCTGATAATCAGGGATTTCTGACGTAATATCCTATGGTAATTATCACCTCTGGAGACACTCTTGAAATTCGAAGCTGAAAATGGATAGTGTGAACTATGCTTTAATAGCTGCATCTACCAGGGTTCATCTAAGCAAGCAAAAGCCCAGAGTAGCCGGACCTAACGAGGTTAAAGGTTATTTTGAACTGTGTAAGCAAAATAGCTTATAACAAATTTATACTGGTGTAGAACAGAGCATAATGAGACCTTCACTGCTGATCCTGCTATTGAGACTTCCATTACCTTACTATCCCAAAGGACACAAAAGTATTATTGAGTGGAATTTGGAAATCAAATAAGGAAGCAGAAGGAAGAATTATATCCTATTTTATTTTGTGTCTGGACTATATGAGCACTGCTGCTATTTTATGGTGTGAGTGTCTGGGGCAGTGCAGGTCAGGAATCTAGCTGGATGAATTCCATTCTGTTTCTATCCCTACTGCTTTCTAAATTAAAGGAGGTGGTTGGAGACAACCTTCATACTCTCTGTTCTGTTCCTACAAGATACGCAGTCACCACCCTCCTTCTACACATAACTGTTTTTTCTCAATTCTGTTGAAACACAAGTGAGTGCTTTTGCAAAGTTAAGGAAGAAATACAAAATGTAAAAAACGTTAAATGTAATTATTTGCATCAAATAATACAAAGTATTTCAATAAGATGAATGAACATTATATTCCATCTGCTCTTTGTAACAGAAAAGTGGCACATGGATTTTTCAAGAAGTGCTTTGTAACTCCCAGGTGGCACATCTACCTTGTAATATAGCAGTTACTATAGTAACTGCTTCTTTTTATAGAATATATTTGTACTTTTCAAGTTTAACCTCTTCATGGTCTCAAAATGTGTCCTTTTCATCTGATTCCAGCTGTTTCAAATGAACCCCTCTAGGGTTCGCAACAGAGAAATGAACACTACAGTATAGTGCAGAGTTTAATGAAATTCAAAGCAAGATAGTTTCTTTCTAACAATGAGGAAGAAAATGCTTGCTTTTTTTACCACATGACAAACATGCAGAACAGCAGCATAAAAATTAGGCTGAGATAACTTAGAAGTACAGATTGTTAACAAACACAAGTCAGTATGGGCCAAATCTCCTAGTCCTGACTCAGTCCTTTCTCAGACAAAACACCAAGTGGGAGTTGATGAATAAGAAGTGAACAGAAAAAGAAAACGGAGTAATAAGAAGGGAACTTGGCCCTAAGCACAAAGCTAGGCTGAACTGCAGGTCTCCTACACAGTGTGACATTTTTTCCACACTTCAGACATAAATAATTGTGGTCAAAAATAAATTAACTCTATCGGTCTGCAAATCTTTAAAACACAGTGAGATGTTAAACTCAGGCTTCTGTGTGCTTTGCAAGTAAGTGCATACCAGAATGGGTCAGATAGGAAGAAGCTTCCTCCCACAACTTACAGCATCATCCAACAGTTTCCCTGTGCTCTTCTTCCCAGGAGACTTTGTTGGTGACGGTGAAGGAGATGGAAGGGGGGCTGAAAGTGTTTCCTCTTGTTCAATCTCTTTTTCCAGCTTTATTAATCCAGGAGGCTCCACCCCAAACCTTTTGGAAACACGCAAACAAATTAATAGTCCTATAAATATAAGTATTTATAAGTATTTTACATACATATTTTAAAACAAAACAGTGGAAAGAATTTATACTTTCTGTATTGCACTATTGTGCAATAATAGAATGCTACATACATAGTAAACATGTAAAAAAATATATAAATCATTAATGCCATCATTCCAAAGTAATACAAAAAATTAATTGAGATGGAATCTCTCAGTTGAAAAATTTACAGGAAATACAGGGTTTTTTTCCAACTTCTCTGTCTGATAACATGTATGTTGGCAAATGACTAATTTATGAACAACACTAGGCCTCAAAAATTTCTATACCATGTAGGACAGGTTCAAGTTCAGTACATTAGCTTTTTTTTTCCTCCAAACAACATCCTTTCAAATTACTTGACATCTTATATTTTGTGTTAGTATTTTTCAAAGAAATCCAGATGAAAAGAGATTAAAGGTTATCCCAGTCTCAACTATCGCGCTGAATTTATAGATAAATAAATCAAGAGATGGCCAATATTTTTCAGAAGTGGCTAATGCTTTTTCTAACTTATTTTTGAGAGCCAATCTTCAGATCTCCATTTACAGTGGCAAAACACTTGTAGCTCCAACTAAAACAAAATACATGCAACTTGGGCATGGAACATCTCAAACACAGCACTTGGAGAGTGAAGCTCTTTAAAACAATGCCTGCTTTTGAAAGCTTTATGGCAAGTGACTAAGTCAGTATCTCACAGCAAGCAGCAGAGCTTGGACAGATGTCAGAAGTCTAAAAGCCCATCCCATTTTCCTAATCACTGATAATTCCCCTCTGTTTTTTTTATTTGCCAACACTGAACAAAAACCAGAAAAAAAGAAAGATTTCCTTTTTCAGAGAAGGACTTCAGCTTGAAAAAGCTGTCATGCCAGGTAGGCTTCTCACAGCAAACTACTTGCATAAATGAAACCATATTTTCTTCTGTAGTGGAAAAGTCCATAGCCCAGATGCAGAACTACACTGACTTACCTAGGTAAAGATCTGGACACTAAAATATCGAGCAGTAACAAACATATTATGAAAATCTAAGCTAAATACCATAATAACGTTAAAAGCGTACAGAGAAAGGGCACAAGCGCATATACTGTCTTTTGTATTTTTATGATAACTTTTAATTTAGTTACACTACTGCCTAGTAAATTAATATAAAGAAAACCAAGAACCAAATCTGTGCTTGTATTGGCTTCTGACTGGTGCAGTCTGCCTAATGAAAAGTCAGCCAACATCGAAGCAAGCACTTATATACAATCCATTTACTTCCTGTCTGTCTGCAGATGCCGACAGGCTGTAAATCATGAAGTTCCCACTGGGCTCTAAGCCTACACCTGCATGCAGCCTTACTCATCAAATAAAACCCTTCCACTCTAAGCAATGCTGCTTCTTTGCTTCTACTGCTTTTCTTAATCTCCAATTTTTGTCACTGTGACAGACTTTTAAAGTTCCCTGTATTTCCAGTATTCTGAATTCCTCTGGTGATGAGTTGAAAAATAAAACAAATGAACAAACAAACGTACACACATTTCTTTCCATGTATTGTATCAACCTGAAGCAAAGTTGCTGGAAAGCTGAAATGGTAAAACCGACGTCTTTTCTGGGAGGGGTAGAGGTGCAAATTCTGGTCTGGAAGGTATGCTAAGAATTTCCTTTTCTGCTCTTTTCTAGCCTGCCTTCTCATAACTACAAGTGAAGCAGCATTGGCTGTAACATGATCTCCAATAGACTTCTTAGAGCACCACTTCCCATTTTTACCAGGCAAAAATTGAATACAATAGCAGAAAGATCTTGAAATTGCTCAACAGTAATTTCAAAAGACCTGTGGGGGTTGTTTAACCCCCCCGAGTTTAATAGTTACCAAAGAACTTCATTCTTTCTGCAGAAAAGATAATTTAGCTGTTTTCCATTGTATAATCTCTCTTTAAACACACACACAGACAGCACATATACATCTATTTGCAAATGATTACATTCTTCATGAGGTCTTGATTACGAAGATTACGCAGTGATAGATTCTGCTTTCACGTCACTTTAGTCACGACTTCAAAATACTTTGGGAGAATGTTGGACCTGTGCAACCCACTGCAAAAGCCCTGTGTATTGTCAATGCTCACTTTCATCCCGTAGGACACTTCCCTCTCTCATAAATGTTCCCACTCTCTCACGTGATATCTGCCCGTGCACACAATGGCCCATTTTAGCTATTGAAATTTCACAGATGACCTCAGAATTCTATTTTCATAAACAACTGAAATCCAGGATAGTTTATCAGGCTATTCTATTTTTATTAGTACCTTGGCTTTGAACTGCCACTCTTTGAGCCAAGTGGTCACACCAGTTTCCCACTCACTGTGTAGTCCGTCCATCCATCCAGTCTATCCCTCTCTCTAATTTGGCTAAAAGGACAGCATGACACAATATGCTAAAAGCATTGCTAAAGCATAGGTAAATTACCAACTGTCTCCCTCATCCGCAGAGTATCTGTCGAATGGGTTCAGGTTTAGCAGAACAGAGCTCAATTCTATCTCCTCTTCAAACAATCCCCATTCCTGCTCACTTGTGCCTCAATCCCAAGCCTATTTTCGTTAAGAAGAAAGGCCTAGGTTGACTTATGGGAGTTATAGACCCTGAAGACTAACAGTAATCTGGCTGGGCAAAGTGTGCTGATTGCTGGCTCCTTGTGATGAATAAGCCACTTTGCACATATCTTTCTGCTTCTAAGACAGAAAAGGAAGAGAAAAGTGAGACGTTACTCAGTATCTCTTACTCTTTTCATTCTTTAACAACGTACTGAGATACCTTTTCAAAGATCTCTGCAGCTCCTGTTCTGGAAAGCAGACCCCTAAGCCTGTCAACAGGCCCAGTCTGCTTTACAAAGCAAGAATACATCTGACTTCTCTCCTGTTTAAAGCTGCACAACAACGTCAGTTTAATGTGCTCTTTCCTATGCTTAGTGGAGGCAACTATGTATTCTCCTTTTCCATAGAGTTCTAGTTTATCACAGCTCAGGCAAAACTGGCATCACATATTTGCTTTTCAATTATATTAACCTGATGTTCCCCTTCAACAGTTTTTGTGCACCTTGGAAACTTACAAGATTATAAATGGGGTTTTGTTTGTTTTCAAAGAGGTATTAGAGCAGAAACAAGGAGACAGACATATGTTATTTGACCCCTAAGCTATAAACAAAAATAAAATACAGTAAAATAAATATAATATATAAAATACATTAATGATATATGGTAATATACATGTATATGAATAAAAAATTAAAAAATATTTTAAAGGCAAAGGGATAGATAAGCATAATAAATGAAAACACGGTTCACTTATTGGTTCAGTATTTGTTTTCATGCCTAGAACAGAGAACATCTGAGACATGGAAGCTTAAGACAAAAGACAAATATGAAAGGTAAGATTCTATCTTAATTCCCATGTAGATCTGTTGAGAAATCAAATCACATTGCAAAACGAGATTAATCTAACTCAACCGACTTCAGCAGAATCCAACACTGCCTAACCACTGACCCGCATTCCCTGAGGAAGCTGGATACTATCAAGTAATCAACCTGTGGCAGACATTCCTGACAGCTACGCCCTGGGTATAGGGTCTTTGGATGTTGGAAGGTCTATCTCCAAGCTGGGGATCTTGCAAGCATAGTTTGTTTGCTGAGGTAAATTAAGATTCATGAAAATCAATTTCATTGAGCACCTACAGATCAGAATACTTTCTTATTCATGAAAAGTTAAATTAATTTTTTTTTTTTGGCCACATTGGACTGAATCCAAGTTTTAGAGATAAGAAAGTTCCTGCAAACTGGAAGTCAACTCTTTTTCTGGCCAACGCTATTCCTATGCAAGCTCCCACTGACAGTGAGGGCTTTTATGAAACTTGACCAAGAAACAAATTTCTAGTTAAGCAGCTTCCCAAGTGAGTTGCATTCACAAAATATGAATATCCATAATGCAATTATAACACGAAAATACTAGTTCTGAAGCAAGGAATAAACAGGGGTCTCCTTCACATTGATTGTAACCACAAGGAATTCTTCTGAAATTAATGAAACTATTTGAATAGCAACGCACTCCAATTTGATACACGTGGATGAATGCAACTGCAATTTACATGCAAGACTGGGCAGCAGCACTGCTGTTCATGTATTTTGTAGCAAATCTTATGCTCTATGCTGGTTAATTCTGCATCTGCAAAAAGGGAAAAATTGCATTCTAATTACTGTCATTTTGATCATCTAGCAAAAGTCATTGTTGCCTTGACATCAGAGGTAATGTTACAATGTACTGAGTGTCCAGCCTGGCTAGAATCATCTGACAGAGATAGAGCACAGACTGTTAATGCAATTCTTGTATTGCTTCTGTTGGTGAAAATCAGAGCTAAGTTTATTTAAATAAATAAGAGTCAGTGTTGCTTAGGTCAGATTTATGTCATGTGAAGATCAATTTATTACCAGTAAAGTTAATGAAATCTCAGTTGTTTATAGAGAGATCTGACTGTTAGAAGGCGAAACAGCTCAAAGCTTTATTTAGAAAAAAATTCTCAACTCTTCCCCCTCCTAATACGAGGATAGCCAACAAATACCTTCATTGAGGTGATGGTACAGAGATTTTATTATATTTGTTAACAACTGCCCACAAGATATTCTTGAGTGACATCAGGACAAGCATTCTCCTTGAACCTAACGAGCATAAAAGTTAGCTTGAGATGTGCTGATTTAGTAAGTCTCTAAATAGCCACTGCTGTCAAGAATGTAAATATTTCTTCATTCTTTAAATATTTTCACCTACCTTGCTGCAATCCTTCCAAGTTCCAGCAAACAAAGGCACACTTCTCTTGGCTGCTTGTGGAGAACTGGAAAAGCAAAATGATAGACAGAAAACATTTATAAACAAAAGCTATTTTGAAAGATCTTAGTGATGAATGGAACCTATCATCAACATCCGTAAATCTTGACTCAGATAAAACTTGGTTTTCTTTGGCTTGCAGTGGAGTTTTAGTGGAATAAAAAGGATGGGATTGAGGAGTGGTTCTCAGAGTGCAGATGATTTAGGAAGTTCCCATTTAGTTATCCTTTAGTTCCTTTGAAAATACCATTCTAAATCTAAATCACTGAGAAATTATTTGGGCTATTTGGTAACCTGCAAGCAGTTCATAACTATTTAAAAATAATCAAGAGCTCTGGCAGAACACTAAACTAGTAGAATGTCAAAAATAAATTAATAACCTTAAAGTGATACTTTTCTTTCTACAAACTAAGATAATTCCTATCCTTTAGATCACTATTTTTCTTAGCCTATTTAAATGACAAAAATAACAAAATTGCACTAGCAAAGATATATATCATTATAAATTTGGTCCTGAATTCATTATACATCTACTCTTAAAGCAAATATGAAACTAGAATACTTTAGGAATTCAATTCATCAATTCATCAAACACTCAACCGAACAAAAAAACTTTTCTTCTGTATATATACACAGGTATATGCAAATTTTCATGCCTGGATTCCACACAAGACCTGCAGTTTTTAAAGCTTCAGAAGCAGCTGTAACACAGCATGAACTTCTCATTAAGAAATACCACCATAATCCAAAATAATTCTTTCTTTTTTTCCCCACAATTCTTATACGTAATATTTTGTAGAGAAGTCCAGCAAAATATATAAGCAAAATCCAAAATCAATAGATGAGGACAGGTCTGTGGCTGTTTGCATAATCAACTCCCCAAAAGTCCAAAAAGAAGAAAGGAAAAAAGAAGAAAAGAGAAAAAAGGAATTATGAGTACATTGTCACCTTGTCTCCAGAAATACCTATTTGCAGTAAAACCCTCATGTTGTGGATAAAATTCAAGTTTTAGAAATTTCCACAACAATCAGAAGATTTGTACCTTTTACTTTAGATTGAATTGACACCAAAAAATAGCATGAATATTTGTATAAATCAGAAAAATAGAAACAGCAACAAAATTGATTTGTTTTTAATGAGTTAAGGTCAAGACATCCGCTGTATAAACGTTTTGGTTATCTAAAGACTCACCTAACTCAAATGCATGAAGAAAAAAATACCATACCTGAAAAAGATATTTCAATGTCTAGTTAAAGCTCTGAAAGTCATTGCTTTGTCCTATACTGTACACATGAGAGACCCAGAATGGGAATCCACAGACTTAAACATTTCCAAATAACTAACGCCTGCTGGGGAAGATCATCAGCTTCTGCAACTTCAACTTCTAGCTCCACTGACTTGAATAAAGGTATGGTAAGGTGCGTGAGTTGAATGCTCATCCCAATGCCTTTTACTAGTGTATATGTAGCACTTTGAGACACATGCATTCTTCCCCTCTAATCTCATCTAAATATATTTCCAGAAGTGAAACTGCAGAGCATGAAAACTAAAATGGCACTGCACTAGGAAAAGTATTTTTATCCTTCAGCCATCTGTTATTAAGAATATAAAAGATGCAGACTTGGACTTTCAGCTATTCTCAATATTCTTCCTTGCCACAACATGTTTTATGAAACATTTACCTTTACTAGTAATCAGTATTTTTAAAGCGTTACATTCATGAGTCTAGAAACGTATTCTGTTGCTTTGGTTCTAAACCAGTTGGGACTGCCCCAAAATAAAACTTGATTTTAAGAAATAAAGCATCCCCCAAAATATAAATGGAATAAACCGGTTTTGGAATAGGCAAAGGGAGTCCAGTATTTCTTAATTGCAATTCACACATACGCATATCTGAATAACTTTTGGAAGGGAGGAGGAAAACAGAGACTCAAGTAACATTATGTACAAAAAGATCAATAAGTAGAATTGGAAGGGGATTTGATTAAGAAAGGTAAAATGTTTTTCTGTCAATGCTTAAAGCTCTTCTACCCAAACAAAATTCCAAGTTCTTTAGCAAACCTGACTCAACATAATCTAGACACATTTCATGCATTTCACATCAAACAACGTGACACAGTGAAATCATTGTTAGAGGATGAAGAGCTGTGCAGGCAATAACCAACCACAAAAACAAACGTCTGGTCATCTGATCAGACGACGGTGACAGAGCGCTTCTAACAAGAAAATGTTAGCATTCCTGAGGACTATACCAGCATATGTATTTGGGAACTTTGGGGACAAACAAATGTTATTTTGTACACTGCAATATCCACTGGAAGTAATTCAGATTCTCAAACCAAAGTTTTCGGGTTTTTTTCCCAAAAGCACAACTGTTTAGTGGGCTACCACCTCGCAAGAGACTGGTCAGGAGTTACAGCACAAGCCACAGAGGCACAAGACTGCACTTCCACGCCTGTCTTCGTCCCAGACATTCAGTATAACCTTGAGCGAGCAAATCAAGACCATTGCCTTCTAGAGTAGCACTTTCGAGTGCCTCGATTTCCGAGTACTTATTTTGAGATACTTTTTGTCTGGTGCTATTCCACAATAACTGCAAGAACTCGATATTTACAGTCACTGTCAAAAGGCTGCCTCCTAAGCTTTTTGAAGAAAAAGCTACCTTTACACTTCTTTTCATCTAGAGAACAGAAAGAGAAACATCTCTTACACTTCTTTTTTTAGTTTTACATATAGAAGTTGAGTTAATCGATATTTTTGAAGCACTTCAAGACATCCGATTGAAGAGATGTCAAAAACTATTTCAGAGGCACTACTACACAGCGTCAAAATCATATTTCATTATTTAAAATAAGTATGCCACTAAAAAAGGAAATCTGTAGAAGTCCTCATAATTCACATTTAAATTCTTACTGAACTGTAATTTAAATTCGCATTTAAATTCTGACTGTACTGCAGTTCATGGCTAACTACACTACATACATGTACAGAGTTTTATAAACATGTAATTGTACATAAATATATATGGCAATAACTAATATCATTTGAGGACTACAGGCAATTCATTCTGAAGTGATGGGTTACAAGCTCAGGTTGAAATGTAACACCTGTACTCACAGTGTTCTGCTGTATCCTGTGGGAACTACATCTACCATTGTCTGAATTACTTACTATAATCTATATTAATAGTTGCATTTCAGTAATAGGCACCACCTCAACTTTTTGACCTGACCAGTTACTTAATCCCAGATATACTACATGGCAAACAGACATTTACTAAGCAACTCATTTTCTGTAATTGTAGCAATTTATAGGCAGCTAGACACGGTAAGTACTGGAAGCCGAAAAATTATTCTTAGAAGCCATCTTCATTATATCTACGGCTACGTACACAAGTCACTGCATATCACTTGAAGTCTACACTCAACACAGTGCAGTTCATTTCAACAACAGTGCTACTGCATGCTGCGAAGAATTCAAAGAAAAATCAAAAGTTAAGATTTCTCTAACACTTCTATGAGGTAAGTAGTAGTATTATCCCCATCTTATACACAGAATTAAGGTATAGGTATAAGACACAAAAAAAGCACACTTATCTAGGTGCTATTTTAAAATACTTACTGCCTGATCTCCAGGGTACTCTGGAGTTTCCTAATGCTACATTGTGTATGAAAGCAAAACCAACACAACTCGTGATCGCATTACAAAGTCTGATATGGATCCTCCCGTTGCATGTGGAGCTATGTGATAGAGCCATAGTCACTTCTTCTGATGCCATTCAGTACCAACATCAAAATACTATCCTTCAGCATCTTGCGTCACTCTCCAGACTTCTTCAGATTTTTGCAACAAATGAGGCATGTGAGGAGAAAATAACATACCAATAAGAGCTTCCTTCACTTCATGAACCATACCACACCAAGATGTGGGCAGAGCAAGGTCCATCCTAAAGAGGACACAACTCTTTTAGGGGAAAAAATAGCCCATGACCACATGAAAAGTTGATAGGTGTATCATAACTGTTAAATAGTTTAACTCATGTAGTGCAGCCAGCCTTAATTATAGTCCAAATACTTCACTTTGCAGCATTAATACAATTTTCGTATGCAATCTCCTGTAATTTTTCACGCTTTCATATATGGAAGAAAACAATATTCCTAGAGAATCATTGGCCAGTCCCCCCCTACCAAACATTAGCAAGGTGAATCATCCAAGTAGGTGACTATAAGCAAGTACCGATTTGTAAATGTAGAAGACACATGTGCTACACAGACCTACTGCATAAGATGAATGGAAATATCCACCTTGCCAGAGAATCTCACTGATGATATTTGCTTGACAAGAGAGCGATCTGAAGATTTAGAAATAGTGCATACAAGTCCAGCTTATTTTAGGTGTCCTGACAGTTACAGACCCTTTTGCTTTCCATCTCATTATTTCAAATCCTTCCTATCTGCTCTCCTCATTGCCTGCATCTTTTCAAGCTACTTCCAGCCACTCTTTTCCAACAATACTTCCTTTTCAGCTTCTAGCAAGCTGTTATCCCTGGTCCTCTCTGGCTATAACTTCTTTCTCCACACTGCTTCCGTCTTGTTGCTGCCCCTTTCTCCTTTTACAGGTCCTCCTCTGCCAATCACTCACCCCTTGTTCTCCTTCCTTGTACTTCATTTCTTTCCTACCTACTGTTCATCACATTGCTGCATCCTTCACCGCTCCCTTCCCCAGTGCCTGGATGCTGCCAGGAGAAGCAGAGAGACCAGAGGAGGAACAGCCTCTGCTTTCAGTGCTGATCAGCGCCGGGGCTGCGAGGAGACAGAACACATCCTGCACATAGAGACCATGTGTTTGCTGAGCACGTTTAAACCAAGCGTGTTCATAATAACAAACGTGACGATTTTTGTTTTGTTTGTGGCTTGTTTTGGGTTTTTTTGTTTGTTTGTTCGGGGGTTTTTTACGTTAGCAGAATGCCCAACCATGGCACAGGAACAAACTTCTTACACCTCCCTG